GCAGGATCGAGGCATGGGGATGCCTCGGTCCCGCGGTGCACCTTCCCAAGGTGGCCCACGGCCGCCAGTCTGCTTAGCCCCTAACACAGCCATGTCTCTGAATTCTATATCAAAGAGAAGAGCTTTTTCCCTCTTCAATGCTCAAGTGCACATTGGATCCCACTATACATTCAGTTTCTGGATTGGAAATGAGGATGGGACTGGGGTCCCAGGGCCCAGGGCCCATCCCATCCTCTGAGGTCCTCAAGGGGAAGGGCTTAATTTAGGATGAGAATATCACCATGGATGTTATTTATCTATTTATGTCTGCCACTGCGTGTTTTTGCAGGGTGCTTCACAGTGGGAACAGTAGGCTGTTTTCTGTTCAAAGCAGAGCCTGGAAAACTTTCTCATGGCAGTTGTTAAAAGCAATGCCCTACAGAACCTTTCTGTGAAAAATCTGTGGGTCATGATTCTGTGTCTCAGTCTGCCTGGCATAACTTTGCGCATAGCAGAGGTGCTGCAGAAATCTCCTAATGGATTGCAAAGATGCTTATCTGGGTACCAGAAAGAGTGTCCCAGTGCACATTGGCTCTACCCATGCATGCCAGCACTCCATAGCTGGTGTCCCGATGCACATGGGGCTCCAAGTATGTGCACCAGGACTCCCTAACTGGTGTCACAATGGACATTGGACTGTACAAATGTGCACCATCACTTCATAGTTGGTCTCCTGATGTGCATTGAGCTCTGCCTATACATGCCAACACTCCTTAGCTGGTACTCCAATGTGCCATGCCACTTCACTGTCTCCCCTACGTAGCAACATCACAGCAGCCCTTGCTGAATATAGATGTTGCAAAACTGTTAGGCTGTCTTTCCTGCCGATGTAAGTCCAATTACATGGATGCAAGTCCCATAGCGAATTCCATCTTGTGCTTTTTCTTCTTCTTCTCTCTATTCAGTCCAGGGCTTGAAAAAAAATCTTCATTTCCAACCAGGGAAGTATTTTCTCACTTCTTAGAATTTGGGATTATTTTATTTGAATGGCCTGCTTGAAGCCACTGTGGTGAATGCCACTCTGAATTTCCATGGCTGAGTGTGGGGGATTCAAACTCCTGAGCAGAGATTTATTCAGCTGTCCTGATGTTGTTGGACTGGCACTCCCAGCTGCCTTAGGCAGCAGAGCCAGTGGTGAGGGATTCTGGAAGCTGCAGTCAAACAACATCTGGAGAGCTGCATGATTCTCACCTCTGGTCTAGAGGCTAGCTTGTTTTATCTGTGTACAAAGCATTTCTAGCAAAAGACAACATATATACACCATGGAGCATGTGGATGGATCTATGGCATTGTTATGTTCTGTAATATTGTTGCCAAAGTAGATATGGGGACAAAGGAGTTTATCACACAGGAAGGATCCCGTGCAAAAACGAGATTTAAACCAGAAACCCCCCACAAAAGATTGATTTTCAGACAACGTCTGACATTAACCGGGACAGAAAGTGGAAAAAACTTGCAAAAGCAGATTGATTTTCAGACGACGTCAGGGTTAATGAGCATTAACACGACATTAACCCAGACTAAAAGTTGACAAAACATGCTACTTTTTACTTTTGGAAAATCCCGAAAATAAAAAGCGGTGTGTTTTGTCGACTTTCTGTCCAGATAAATGTCGTGTTAATGCTCATTAAACCTGATGTGTCTGAAAATCAACCCATTTTTGCGGGGGTTTTCTCTGGGGTTTAAATTCCGTTTCTGCACGGGATTTGGGCACTTTGCCTCCCGTGTGATAAACTCCAGAGTTAGCATTTGCTTTTTTGTGTTTTGCAAATTCTTCATTTGTGTCCCTGTTGTGCAGCATGTTACTAACACACTTTGTGGGGTGGTTGTCTGTAAGCCAACAGAGGTTTACCACCCAAGGAGAAATTCTGCAAAGAGATTATTGACAGGAATATTTCTATTATTATTCCAGGAACCTTCCCACTTTTGGATTCGCCGTGCCGTAGGGGAAATATGAGTCATCCGGTTACCCAGAAATACCTTCTAGTAAGAGTCTTCCTTTTTTGCTTAAAAGCTGTGCAACACCCCACTGAAATGAGAATATGAGAATGGTTAGATAGGAACAAGTTATTTGTAGTTAGTTCCTTCCCCTAACAACAAAGGTAGATCTACATCACATCACAGTTTATGGAACAATGACTGCCCTTTCCTTGTGTGGGGTAACTGTAACTTTCAGTTACCTTTTAAGTTACATGGTATGTTCTCAAGAAAAGTGGAGGAATATCACATGGTTTCAGTCCCGACTTGTGCTATTGCTTCCAACACTGTTGCCCGTGTTGAGATGATGGTAAGGTGGGCACGGTTTGTGCTAAAAGTAAGCACTTTATAGCATTCGAATACATGTCTTTAACTTAAAACTACTTAGTTAGTTTCAAGAGGTTGGAAAGTAAAGAATTATTCCTCAAAGTTGTAACTGTAATAACTAGGGTTGCCAGAGCCAGTGTGCTGTAGTGGTTTGAGCACTTGTACTACAACTTTGGAGACAAGGGTTTGAATCCCTGCTTGACTACAAAAACCCATTGGGTGACCTTAGGCAAGTCACACTCTCTCAGCCTCAGAGGAAGGCAAAGGCAAGCCCCTTCTGAACAAATATTGGCAAGATCAAGGTGAAATGAGGAAACTATTTCCTCTCACTTATTTTCGGAGATGAGATAAGGAACCTTTACTCTAGCCTACTTGCTTCTAGCCGAAAGGTGGATGCAGAGCTGAATGGAGAGTGAGCCCTGGCACCTGGGAGGGAAGGAGGAGGCTAACCATGTAAATCTAAAAAATCTTTGCAAGTTGCAGCAAGAATTCCATTAAGCCTTGCAAACTGTAGCAAGCTGCTGTGGCTGCATCTACATGAGAGCATTAGTGCAATTTGACACTGCTTTAACATCCATAGTGCAATGCTATGGAATTCTGGGATCTGTAGTTTTGGGAGATGTTTAGCCTTTTTTGTCAGATGCCACAACAAACAACAGACATCCCAGGATTCCATAGGAGGGAGTGATGACATTCAAAGCGGTGTCAAACTGCATTAATTCTGCACAATCCTGCAGTTAAAACATGCATCCGAGGAAGTAGGCTGAAGTCTACAAAAGTTCATGCTCCCAGCTTCTTTCTTTCGGTTGGTCTCAAAGGTGCTACAAGATCTCTTTGCATACGGATTTTCAAGACTAACACGGCTATGCTTTGAGTTCTAATCCTGCAATGTGACAGCAGCCTGTTTTAATATCTGAACTGGAGATCCGCACACGCTCCTTTCCTCTTGCCTGGAGCTGAGCCCATCAAAAGGGGAAAATGTCTACCTTTGTTTCCCACCTAGGACGTTATCAC